ACTTCTTGAACATTTATTCTATCATCTGACTGGACTTCTAAATTTGAAACTTTGATGAGCCCTGTGAAACAGCTAATAACGTCCCTGGGAGTCTGATATGATCTTCAAAGTGCCCAGTTTATAATACATCAAAGAAATAACTCTGCCTTAATTAAAGAAGAACTAAACTTGTGACAATTCATGTATGTAGTCTGCTAGAATTTACAATAGAAGATTTATAGTAATTAATTTTGCCTCTTGGCTTTTCATTTTCATGATGTCTAATCTCATAATACATTGGTAAATGATTGTTTGTGTTTAAAATCTGAATTGTTTTACATGCCTTTACTCATTAGGAAGTTAGGTAGGTTATGAGAAACAGATTTTAAACCTAATTTATTTTGTTATGTTTTCCGCTGGAAGCTTGAAACCACAGCACCCATCTAGTAATTTGTGAATAGATTCCAATTTTACAATTCTATGTTTTGTTTGAGGTTTTGGGTTTTTTTTTTTTTTTTTTGGTGGCAAAATTCTTCCTATACAGAACTGCGTATAAAATATGCAGATTGTGTACTTGTGCACATTCCCATCATTACACAGATAAAACTGCTATTTTCTACCACTTTGTGTCATGTGGCTTTTATTTATGTTCTCACTATAGAGCTGGTCTGAAAGTACTGTTCCAATAATTAACAAATACACAGTTCTGCTTTTTGGATAAGCTGTGAAACAGTTCTATTAAAGGGATTGCTGTTAAATTTACTAGTTTGTAAGACTCTGTAAATACTTTTTCAACAGCATTTAATCCCTTTCTTCATTATTTTTCTACTTTGAACATACGATTATCAGCTGGCACAAATAAGAATAGGCAATTTGCCTGTTCTGGATTCCAAGTGGAAGAAAGTTAGGTTGGGTAGTACTAGCCTTGGAAGTAAACATGATACTGTGTGTCTGTGAGATCATGGTATCTTTAAACTGGGTAGATAGCAAACTGTGTTATCACAGCATGGAGCTCAGCCTGTGATCTATAGCTTGCTTAGATGCTTCATGTAAGCAGCTATCCTATTAAGAAGTGCAAGCTGCTGTAGCCATGATCTATGCCATCCATATCAGGTCTCGTAAGTTCAACACTATCTCAGAAATGTAGTCAGACTGTTTGGTATAAGCTATAGCTCTTTTGCCAAAGAATCCTAGATGAAATATATAGAAGTTGGATCTTCAGGAAAGAAAACAGAATTTCAGACTTGTTACTGTTCATGTAATGACCCATTCATGGCCTGTGATTCTAAGTGATCTGAGAAACTTTCCTAAACAATCTTCAGTTGTGTAGAAACTGGACTCATTGCTCACTTGCTGACTGCTGTGTTCTTTCCAGCTAATAGAAGGGGGCTGAAGACAGTCTTCATAACACTAATACTTATATATGAAATCACTTGTGACAACAAAGAGACTGGGATACTTGGTTGTTTTGCCTTTTTTTTTTTTTTTTTAATTTTTCTTTTATTTATAAGGACCTGTGATACTGGCTAAATGTTAAAATGGCAATTGTCTCAGCAATTAAATTAGAAAACACATCACATATAATTCTCAGTTTTAGTGGATTAAACAAGTTTAAATTTGTGATGTTCAAAGCTACATTTCTGGAACAATACAAATTTGTTAGGATAAGTGACATAAAAAAAAAAAAAAGGCAATATGGAATATGCAAAAACCAACGCTTCAAAATTACCAACTATGCAATAGTAAATACTTCCACATTTCTAAAAAAATTAAATGGTGGGATGATAAAACTCATTGCAAATTAGGGCAAGTGGGGACATCCTAGGTTATTGAGGCCAGTTCCACAATGCAACAGAATAACAAAATGTAACCTGGGAGCTACAGCACGGAGTTCGCTGCCTTTAATTTAAGTCTTTCTAGCTGAACAGCCTTTTATTGCATCTGCGAATAGAAACAATGCTTCACTTCCAGAAGAAAGCCTTTGAGAAAAATAACATGTTCTTAACAAAAAATACATTCCCTAGATGATATTTTATCATTATTGTTTAGTAATGTGTCCTGAAAAAGTAAGGACTAATCATATTTTCAAACACAACACCATGGCTAGTATTCACAGTAAATTACAACATCTGTGAAACGAACACAAGCATTACAGTTTATCTCATAAAGCTGCATGATTTGTACCCTCTACCATCAACATTTTAACCACCACAGACTATTTAAATTTTCCCTGCTATTTTGGTATAATCATGAGAAATGTGTGATACCAAATAACCCAGAATAATCCAAATATATGATTGTGTGGTGCCTTGTAAAAAAGTTGAGTTTAAGATGAAACTGAGAGTCTTTGAAAGCATGTCTAATGTCTGACTTCCGTTGCATTCTGTGCAGTTTGTGCTCTGTATCTTATGTCAGAAACCCAGCCACATATTAGAGTTCATAAAAAAAAAAAAAAAAAATCTGCAAGAAAGAGGGAAAACGACTCACACATTGATTGTGCTGGGACTCTACATTATTTATCTGCATTTGTTGTTATTTTGCTGACACGCATATCGATTCTATGCAAATTATTTTTTCTGGTATTCATGAATTCATTATGAATAGATATTTCATGATGATTTTGAAGGCTTTTGAATGTGTTTTCTAAATGAGAGAAGGTTGAGAGTCTTTAAAGATGACATGAAAATAGGAAGGAAAGATGTAAAATCATATGCCTTTTCTAACATACTTTTTTAAATTGACTTATTTATATTTTGTAGTTTAAAAATAATTTTTTAAGGAAATAAAAATCAAGATTTTTTTGCTTTACATCAGTAAACATCTGATTAATACTGTTATGTGCATTCACTATACGTCCTTTAGAATTAAAGTCCTGGGAACCTCATCTAAAAAAAATGCTTTTTCTCCATTTGAGTAATTACACAAAGGCATGTGAAAAGAAACTGGACAGAAGGAAAACATTCAACAGATGCACTTTCATTTTATATATGGATTTTATTTATTTAGTAACAATAAAGATATGGTTTTGAGACCTCACTTGGAGTATTGTGTATGGTTCTGGTGTCCTCAACATAAGAAGGACATGGAACTGTTGGAACAAGTCTAGAAGGGGGCCACAAGGATGATCAGGGGACTGGAGCACCTCCTATATGAAGACAGACTGAGAAAGTTGGGGCTGTTCAGCCTGGAGAAGAGAAGGCTGCGTGGACACCTCATAGCAGCCTTCCAGTGTGAAGAGGGCTTATAAGGGTGCTGGGGAGAGACTCTTCATTAGGGACTGTAATGACAGGACAAGGCTCAGTGGGTTTAAACTTTAGCAGATAAAGTTTAGATTGGATATAAGGGAGAAGTTATTTTCTGTGTGGGTGGTAGGGCACTGGAACAGGTTGCCCAAAGAAGTGATAAATGCTCCATCCCTGGCAGTTTTGGATGGAGTCCTGTGTGACATGGTTTAGTGTGAGGTGTCCCTGCCCATGGAAGGGGGAGTTGGAACTAGATGATCTTAATGTCCTTTCCACCCCTAACTATTCTGTGATTCTATGATTTATTTTTTTCTTCCAACCAAACTGAATGTGCTAATGTTAGTGTAAAGAGTAGTGGGGATATTTGGACCATAGAACACAGCCATAGATATGTAGTGGGCTGACCTTGGCTTACTGCTAGAGCCCCCTCTCACTCTCAGTCTGCCTTCTTACCAGCAGGGGGGAATAAAAAATGAAAAGCTCACACATCAAGATAAAGAGAGGGAGATCACTTACCAGATAGTCATGGGTAAAACAGACCTAGACTGGGGAAAACTGGTTTAATTTAGTGTCAATTGATATAGGTTTGCATAGTGTGAAACAAAGACAAATCAAAACAACATCATCGCCATCTCTGTTCCACCCCACCCCCCCACCCCCCACCTCCCCCGGCTTAATGTACTCCTTCATTCTCTACTCCTCTATCTCCTTCCTGCCACAATCAGCACAAGTAGCAGGGAGTGAAGGTTGTGGTCAGTACATAATAGCTCTCTGCTGCTCCTTCATCCTCACACTTCTTCACTCCTCATGTGTGGGCTCTCTGTGGCCACAGTTCCTTCAGGGCACATCCACCTGCACCAGTATGGGATCCTCCACAGGCATCTGGAACACCTCCTCCCCTCCTTCTCTGACCTTGGTGCTCACAGGATTGTTTCTCACTCTTCCTCCTCCGCACTTCTCACTCCACCTGTGGAGCTTTTGCCCTTTCCTAAAAGCCTTTTCCAGAGGCACCCCCACCTCCGCTGAGGGCTCAGATGTGCCCTGCAGTGGGTGGGCTGGATCCATCTGGAACTGACTGTGTCAGCACAGGGCAGCCCCAGCCCCTCCTCACAAGAGTAGACCTGCAGATCCCACTGCCAGCACCTGGGCAACTGCACCGACCACACAACAAGTCAGAGTACCTGAAAGAAACAAAACAACCGAGTTATCCTTTCCTTCTGTAAGTTTCATTAGTCTTTTGGGTTTTTGTTTTAGAGGTGTCTGCTTCCCTTGTTTAGTAGCATATCCTCATCTACTGTATTAAGCTGTACACTTTACAAGTGCTGAAGACCTGACTTGTATGGCATGTGTTTGTTATTCCTCATTGTATTTGTTCTCTGTAGTTTTTACTGCTCCTTTACATGTTAGAAATCCCTAGACAACGGGTGAGAGATAATCAATACTCTGTCTTATCCTGACATTGAAAAATTCAAAAAAGTTGTCATAAGATTATTAAAGTGGCTGTAATACAAGCAAAACACTTGAAAATCTGTATATTTGCATATCACTATGAATGTCTTCTGGAAGTACTTCCTGCTTAATTTATTGCTCTATTCCAGTAACAATTGCATGTCTTTGCCATATTGAATCAGAAATGAGTGAAATCTAATTCATAAATAAACTGCAGAAGCTGTGCATTTTATAAATAATTTTTATGAATATAGATTGCAACACCTACTGGTTTTAATTACAGAACAGTGTGTTTGGAATAAAAGTTCCATGTTAATAGCACACATAAAGATGAAGGCAATCAAAGATAATCTTGCTTCCTTTTCAGGTTTTTCAGGCCAGTACTGTGAAATAGAAGTGAATGAGTGTGATTCGTCTCCATGCTTGAATGGTGCTGTCTGTCAGAATGATGTCAACAGCTATGATTGTTTTTGCCCTGAAGGTAAGTTCTTCAATATAATTTACTTTTATTATCTTTGACAATTCTAAAAATTGCCTGAAGTCTGCAAAATATGTGCTTAACAGTCTTCAAAGCCATTGTTAAAATTTTCTTTGTGTGGAAGTTACTAGCTCTTTTCTGAAGTCTCATTTGCATCTTTGTCCACCAAGGCACCCAATAAAACAAGCATTCTCATTAAGAATGGAGAGAGGTACACTTGTAACTGCCACTGTTTTTGGACAGAACCTCATGATTTTAACAAAGTCTGAAGGAGTGGAGAAAACACAAATAAGAAGTATGTGAAATCCACAGAAAATGTAATCAATGAACTTACAAAGAGTCTATTTTATCCTGAATGTACTAAATTACAGCTTTATGACTGAGCATAGCAAGTAAATTACAAAATTACAATGGCCATAATAATGACTGTAATATATCTTCATTGAAGAAATCTATTAAAACTTTCACAGACAAGGAAAAAAAAGGTTTTCAACACTAGGTCTGTTTGTTTAGAAATGCATAAACTGCTCAGTGTTATCAGACGTGTATGAACAAATGAATGTTTTCAAGAAAGAAGTAGTTAAAGCGAAAACCAAAATGCTTTAAAACATTTAAAATTACATGTCTTCCTGAAATACTTTCACAAATAGATTTCTTCTGAATATTTGTATGTGCTGGTTTTATTTTTTTAATTGGATATTTAGTTAAAAATAAAGTCAAGTTTGTGATTTATAACGATAGTTTGTGATTTATAACGATACTTTGTTTTAAACTTTCTTAGACTTGTTTGAGGATTTTTTTACTACTTTGTAACAATAGACTGATACTGAGTTTATTTGAAAGCTTATAATATTTCAGGGGTTTGTATATTCAAGTATTTTAGTGGTGATGAGTTCAGAAACTCTTCACAAAAGATGAAATTGCTACCAATAATTCCTGTAAGTACACACTCTGTCATTAGCTTAAATTGGAAGCCAAAACAGATATTGAAGACAGTTGAAAATTGAGCTGGGGAAAGATCATTCTGCTGATCTGCCTGACCAGGTTATGGAAAAATAAATCTTGGCATACACATTGATAATTTTGTGTTGCACTTGTTACCTGTGAGACATGAGTCTTATTAAACTCTAAATGCAAATGAGAGCTGTTACTGTATACATTACTAATGAACTGAGGGTAATTCTAGAGTTTTATGATTTAGGGATCAGTGGAAATTGGTTCCATGGTCACTTTGAGAAATTACGGGAATATGCCTTGCACTGAGGGTGCTGATAGCTTAGCATTAGTCATGGTCTTCCTGCAGCCATGGCCTGTGACAACACTAATGATAGTCATTTTGTACCATGACCATGAATTAGAATGCATTTAGAAGAGCATAAAATGTCGGCTATTGGAGTGCAGATTGTCCAGCAATTTCAAGTACAATAAAATACTGTTGAGCTTCTGACTTTGGTAAAAGTCACTATGACACAAGAAACAAATAGAGAAAAAGTAGAAAAGTAATTATTTGAGAGCTGATTTTTAAAACTATAATCAGCTGTCTAAATTCCAGCATCACTTATCTTCGTCTGCAATGCTTTCAAAATGGCAGAAGATACATAGATCCTGCTAAACAAATAATTCAACTAAATTAATGAAAATACTGAATACTAAACTTGTTCTTCCAGTTACTAGCTCCTTTTAAAGTATATTTGATGGTAAATGTATTTTCCTGTTAATGACAGAGCAGAAAAATCTTCCAGGAAGATCTTTCAGTAAGACTTCAAGACAATGTTACTACAAGAGTAAATTGAAAACAATTGTTGTTTTTTTTTTAGTTTCTTTAGAAAAAGGGACCCAAAAGCATGCTTTAGAAAAGAAGGCACAGATATAGCTGAATAATAAATAGCTCTCTGTTTTTTTCCAAACAAGGGTTTGAAGGTTTGAACTGTGAAATCAACTTTGATGAGTGCACTTACGGTTTTTGTAAAAGCAATTCAACTTGTTTAGACCTGGTTGCAGACTACAGCTGCATTTGTCCTCCAGGATTCACTGGTAAGATTTCTTTTAACTCTGGAAAGACATTAAACAGTTAAACTTTTTATTATTTTTTTTCTGAAATTAAAAGAAGCTTTTTAATTGCATTTTGTTCAGCATTTTAACATTAAGGATGCTCTGTGCTATTGCTAATCTGCTTAAATCTCCCTAGTAATATGATAAAAATTGAAAGCAGTGTGCATGATGTTTGATTAATTGATAGAAAGCAAAATTATACTTTGCCTAGGAAAAAAGTATTCAAAGAGTCCTAGTCTATATAGGTGAGCAATGACAGCTATAAGCAGGTGCTGTTTGTCTTCAGATGATCATATCAGAGACATACTCAATTGAGACAGAAATGAGAATACAGTTTTAGCAAGGGAATGCTTTGTACTCTTCAGAAAGAAGCCATCAAATCCTTACAATAAATAGCTTGTAAACTGAACTTTTATTTGTGTGTCTACCAGTTTTAAGAAAGTAACTCTTGCACTGGGAGCAGTCTTCATGGCCTTACTTTCTGCCAGAAGCATCTAACAGGATCACTGGGAAATCAATAACACTGTCTCCACAAGTATGCCATATTAACAGCTAACATGCTGTGATTTCAGAGGCTGGAGCAACTGACTTTCAGCTGCTGATTTCATAGAGGCAAATGGAGCAGCATTAGTCATCAGCTGTAACAGGAAGACAAGCAGTGGCAGTCTCAGTAATTATACACAGTTAGTAGGTGTTGTAATAAAAAGCCAAACAAATACGTACTGAGAGCTCAAAATCTGTTGACCAGTGGAAAGACAAAAATGAAAGAGATCTATTATGGAAGCAAGTAGTATAGTTAGGGGCAAATAAGAAAAACTAACTTAGAAGTAAATAGAGCTTTTCAGTTGATAGTAATACCAGTGTCATAGAATAGATAGGGGTGGAAAGGACCTTAAGATCATCTAGTCCCAACCCCCCTGCCATGGGCAGGGACACCTCACACTAAACCATCTCATCCAAGGCTCTGTCCAATCCGGCCTTGAACACTGCCAGGGATGGAGCATTCACAACTTTCCTGAGCAACCCATTCCAGTGCCTCACCATCCTTACAGTAAAGAACTTCCTCCCTACATCCAATCTATACTTTACCTCTTAAAGTTTAAACCCACTGAGTCTTGTCCTGTCACTACAGTACTTAATGAAGAGTCCCACCCAGCACCCTGATAAGCCCTCTTCAGGCACTGGAAGGCTGCTATGAGGTCTCCACGCAGCCTTCTCTTCTCCAGGATGAACAGCCCCAACTTTCTCAGTCTGTCTTCATATAGGAGGTGCTCCAGTCCCCTGATCATCCTCGTGACCCTCCTCTAGACTTGTTCCAACAGTTCCACGTCCTTCTTATGCTGAGGACACCAGAACTGCACACAATATTCCAAGTGAGGTCTCACGAGAGCAGAGTAGAGGGGCAGGATCACCTCCTTCAACCTGCTGGTCACACTTCTTTTGATGCAACCCAGGATACGGTTGGTTTTCTGAGCTGTGAGCACACACTGAAGCCGGCTCATGTTCAGTTTCTCACCAACCAGCACCTCCAAGTCCTTCTCCACAGGGCTACTCAGAATCTATTCTTTGCCCAACCTGTAGCTGTGCCTGGGATTGCTCTAACCCATGTGTAGGACCTTGCACTTGTGGTTAAACTTCATGAGGTTGGCATCAGCCCACCTCACAAGCATGTCAAGCTCCCTCTGGATGGCATTCCTTCCCTCCAGTGTATCAACTGAACCACACAGCTTGGTGTCATCGGCAAACTTGCTGAGGGTGCACTCAATCCCACTGTCCATGCCAGTGATGAAGATGTTGAACAAGACTGGTCCCAGCACTGATCCCTGAAAGACACCAGTCATTACTGGTCTCCAGCCGGACACTGAGCCATTGACCACAACTCTTTGTGTGCGGCCATCCAGCCAGTTCTTTATCCACTGAGTGGTCCTTCTATCAAATTGATGTCTCTTCAATGTAGAGACAAGGATGTAATGCGGTTTGACATCCAGTTTAGGAGCACTTCATACATATATTGCGAATGGTTAAAAATAGGCAGATAGTACATAAGGAATGTAAGATGATAGAGATTTAGAATCTGTGAAACCAGTAATAGTTGAAGCTTCCACAAACGTCTGTGATTTTTCTTCATTTGTGCCAACTATTCTTATTATTCTTATATTATTCAGAATTTTAAAACTGAGCTGTGCTCTATTTCTTAGAAAATCATGCTCTCCTTTTTTGTTTCATAAGTGGATTTCCTGTCATGAGTTTGCAGGGAATTTGCCTACTTTTTGTCAATCATGAAAATAATGGAGGTGATTACAAAGTATTTGTTTATGTAGTATAAGCATTTTTAATGCAATAGTTTTAAAAGAAGGAGCTTTAAAAACATACTGCTATGCTGCAGGAATCAAAATAGAAAACATACAACTTTTCTGTAGTAGATTGCAGTCAGTTTGAACTAGGGAATGCAGGAAAAGCTGTTCCTTTGAAAATACAGCTACACTACTTTGGGGTATGATGGAATAGACATTACAGAACCAGAAGAACTTAAACTAATGTGTGGATGTCACCAAGGCAGCCTTGAACAGCATATGTGCTCCTTAGGAAGAACTCTTTATCCTAGATTTATAGCAATGCAAACAGTTTGCCAATAAGATATCTGTTCATTCCAAGACAAAAAGAAGCCAAAATCTGTCAACAGTAAAACAGTTACAGGTGAGTTATGGGCAGATTTTAATGTGTGCCTCGAGGCCTGTGTTGAAGTCATAGAAGTTCACATAACTGCATAATAGGCCGTTATGAAAAGGATCTATTTTCTCCCCCATTTCCTGTGTGGGAGACTTTTCATCATGAATGTACTATTGATCTCACTTAAACTGGCTTTTTCGTGAGACAGGACAGCTACCACAAGAAACAAATCATTCAGTCTACTGGCTGGAACTGGAAGTGGGGATAAGGATCCTCCTGATTACACGGAGTATTTTGATCTGTGTTCATACTATTTGTAAATGCACAGTCAGCCATTGCAGATGTCATTACGTTTGGTCCCTCCAACAACTGCTTCATCCTCCCTAGAAAGAGTCTTTGATGCAAAATACCATATATTTGAGCTTTTACCTTCTAAGAAAAGCAGACAGTGGTACAAGAATGTTTCATGTCTTTCTGAGTTTTAGGATTGATGTTAATGACCCACGAAGATACAGCCATAATAACAGTGGTACACTCAAAACCTTTTAAAGGGGAAAAGGAAATATAGAGGATACAAATTAGTTTTTTGTTTATCCAGTTAATATTTAAGCAATTTAGAAATCTATATTATATACTGAATGTAGAAAAGCACCATTAACAACACAGTAAAAAATGGTTTACCAGAAAACTTACTAATGTCTACCCATTTTCTTTTTTTTTTTGAGTTATGATCAACGTTCCAGTGTCCTTCTGGGTCCTATAGGTGACAGTTTCAGTCTTCTCAAGGCGTGGAGGAGTCTAGGCCTTAGTCGTTACCATCTTGAACCCTTTCCCAAGAGAGGAATTATGTTCCTGGTGGGGGTTTCTTCCTCCTTAGTTAGGGATCCAGCTGGGGTTATTCTTACACATTTTCTCATCTAGCCCATATCCTGTCCTGCACTACCAGCTGCAGACTGGCAGTGGCCCCAGCCCTGCAGTCCCGGATACACAAAGGGCTGTGTTTGGACAGGCAGTGACAGGCAGGAGGTGTTACCCCCTCTGCAGCAGGGCCACCTCCAGAGCTAAACCTGGAGCAGGGGAGGCAGCAGTCACTGGGCCAGTTCAGGGGTTGAGCCAATGAAACCCAGCTCAGGCCCTGGCACTGCTGGGTGTGGGAAAACACTGTATTTACTGAGCTACCAGAGCTAGCTCTGACTACACAGAAGCAGAAGTCCAAAAGTTCGTCAACATCTGTTAGCACCCTGTCAATCACACTGCATTTTTCTGATGAAAGTTGCTCAAGGAACTGAGATTTTATAAAGTCCAGTAAATGTATAAAATATATAGGGCTGATTTTAATTTTTTTCTTTTTCTCCCCAGATGTGCTTTTGCTTTCCTAGCATTTTAAAAGGCATCTCCAAGTAGAGTTTAGCTTTATCATCTGAGCTGGTCAGGTACAAAAACTGTCTTAAGCCTAGTTGTTTGCTTGTCTTACTGTTCACTAGTTCTGTTCTGGCAACATAACTCTACGTTGGTGTTGCATGCCTTGTGCATGAATGCTCTGCTGGAAGGGCAGCGTTGGACAGGAGGGAGACAGCTGCCTGTTTCAATGGCCTTGGCTGGGTATGCTTCACAGACTGCAGAGCTTGTTCCTTCCCTGGAAGCAGAGCCGGGAGGAGGCAATAGCATGAAAGGGAGGGAGCAGGCCTGGATGCGGGGAGCAGCTCTCTCCTGCTGTGGAAAATCAGAAGGACAGCAGCATCCTAAATACCCGAGAGTGCTGAGAGGAGCAGGGAGTCTTCTTCAAGCTTCTTCTCTCACGTACAATTCTTACTATTAAAAGGGTGTGCACCTGAATGCTGGCAACTTTGCAGCCTGCTGCATGGACTGCCCGTTACTGTAAGAAAAATAGGCAGACAGGGAGAAGCAGCCCTGAGGAAGACAAGGAAAAGACTTTCTATTAAATCAAAGCTTATTCTCAAATGCCCTCTTGTGGGAGTCAGCATACACAGGATCATTATAACTATCCCATAGTAAAGAGCTACTGGACAAATGGACAGATGGCAACACTGCCACCTTCTTATTTCACAATATTTTGTTTAATTTTGTCAAGTAAAGGGTTTCAAAACCACCTGGCAATTGAGATAGGTAAAGGCAGCTCACGTCTGTTAGCCTGGGAAATCACAAAAATTAAAAGGACTCATTTTGTACATCCAGAGTAGTTAATTCTGGGCATTAGAAGAACCTGAAGATAGGTGAAGTAGGGAACAGTAGAATACCTTCAGTACCTTGAGTAGTAAGGCACCTTGAATCAGGTGGGCTGGAATGGAATT